GCCTCTTTTGCCTGGTGTTACTCTAGGCACACCTGTGGAGGGGTGGGACACAATCAGGGTCAGTGTGTACCTGAAAGGCTGAGCCAAGAGCATCTGCTGAGGAATCAGATGAGGTCTTTGAGGAAAGAGAGAGTTAAGTTCAACTCCAGGATTTGGGGCCACAGTTGCCCTTATGCTGCTGGGGACCTGGAAGAGAACAGGTTAGGAGTGTTGAAATCCAGAGTTCAGTTTTGGACAAGTTTCATTTGAGAAGCCAGTTAGGCCTCCAGATGGGGTCAGGTACAACAATCTGACACACACGGGCATGATTTGTATTGGATGACCTTTGAATTCCTGGAACCAATGAGACCATCAAAGAAGAAACAGTTGCGGAACCAAGAGTAGAACTATTCCCAGGAGGGAACCCTCAGCCGTGACCAGTGTGCTGAGAAGTGGGGGACTGAGCCCGGTCACCCAGAGAGCATTGGCCTCCAGCAGGCGCAGATCTGGTGGAAGGTGGGGCAGAGCCCAGGGAGGCAGGGACGGTTTAAAGCATGAAGTAGCCCCGGGGTCTTTGCAGGTCCAGGCTCCATACATGGTGCCACCCCGCGGTCTCCGCAGCCCTCAAAGCTTTGCCGTACCTGTTATGGCATGCCACCCATTTGCAGCTGTTACCCTCTGCAGACTCAGAGGGACGCCACTGTGCAGGAGCCACTGGTCCTCGGTCATCGCCAAGTCAGGGAACATCAGAGCCAGGGTTTGAAATCCAATGCTTCAGTGTTCTGGGTTCAGGGCTTCAGGGCTTGATCTCTGTGTATAAGCAAGCCCGGAGTCCCACGTGGTGAAAATAAGCAGTTCTCCTGGCTCTTGGGGGATTAAACTTTTGATACTTGTGCTCTGGTCAGTGGAAGCCATGTCACCATTCATCCACAGGGACTTGCTGCCCCCCACTGGCCTCACTCCGTGTTGCACACAAGTGGAGCTCGGGATCTGCTAACCAACCGTGGCAGGTTGAAAAGGGCTGGAGGTGTGTGTGGGGGCGCAGGGGTGGGGGTGGGGATTATTTGTGTTACAGATTTTCATTTGGTTCATATTTTTGCAGTGTTGGGAACCAAACCCTGAGCCACATGCATACTCAGCCAACACCTGGCCACTGAGCGCTGTGGAGTCCTGACAGGTGACTTAAATAGCTACCTGCACTTGCCCCTTCTATCCGTTCAGCTGTTCATTGCTGTTATTTATTGAACATCTACTCTGTGTCATAGATGAGCAGGCACTGAGATTGGGCTGGAATCAGAGGGGAGAGGTCATTCTTGTTAACATGGACATTCCGTGTGGGTAGGGGAGGGACAGATAATAACCAAGAGCATGACAGGTCGTGATGGGTGCCACAGTGGAATTCTGACTGGAGAAGGCACCTGGGGAGACAGCCCTGAAAGAAGCCCCAGTGCCAAGGCCTGAGGGGCTGAAAGTTTTAGGTGGGTCCAGGGAAGGCCCATGTCTCAGCCCACAGCTGTCCAAGGAGAGATCTCTGTAGAATGTTCTCCAGGGAGCTGGGTGTGGTGGTGCATGCCTGTAATCCCAGTGAATTGGCTGAGGCAGGAGGATTGCTAGTTCAAAGATAGCCTCAGCAGTTTAGTGAGGCCCCAAGCAGCTTAACGAGACCCTGTCTCAAAAGAAAAAAATAAAAAGGGCTGAGGATGTGGCTTCACGGTTAAGCACCCCTGAATTCAATCCCTGGTACCAAAAAAATAAAAGAAGGATGTTCTCCAGGGATGGTGATGCTGTCCATCAGTCCCTACTCAGCTGACCCCCAGGTCCTTGAAACTCTCCTCTCCTGGCTTGTGTGACTCTGGTGGCCAGGAAAACTGTTTTTATTTTCTTGTGAAAATTGAAGCTTAACAACCAACAAAAATATGTTCCTGATTTGAAGGAACCCATGGACATTATGTCAAAAACTAAAGCAGGAAATACTGTCCTTCGGGGGCAAAGGTCAAGCTCCATATTTCCAGGCAGGGCACAGGAGCCAACGTGTCAGAGACTTGGCTGAGATGCAATTAGTCTTGCTTGTAGCTATTGCTGTGTTGTAAACATGTTTGGGACCCTGTCTACTGCTAATGGTGAGCTATTCTTGCAAATAAGATGAATATTTATAAGTTGATATACAGTATGAGTGTGCTTTATTCAAATGCTATGAATGGTGTTCCGAGAAGTAAGTTGTGGAAGTAAGATAGGCCCCTAAATTGGCAATTTCCACATGCTGCTCAAATGCTAGCCCATTATGGTAGCTGGTGTTTTGCAGCATGTGAATATTCCCTATAGGTTATTGTTCTTTGTAAAGCAAAACATTTTCTCCTTAAAAAAGAGAAAATTATATGAAGCCACATGCACTGTAATAACCCAACTTGAAGATGTGTTTGGACATGGTCTAACAATTTACCCAGCCTCAATGAAAATGAAATAAAAATGTCTGTGTCTGAAATATGGAATGAAGGCTGGGGGACTCAATGGAAGAGCGCTTGCCTGGCGTGCGTGAGGCCCTGGGTTCCAGCCCCAGCCCCACCACACCCCCAAAAAAAGAAAGAAAAAAAGACAAAGGGGGTGGGGGTAGAGAAACTGTTGAATATGGCAATTAACACTTTGTGTGCTTTAAACTTTAATTTTAAGAATGACTTTTAAAGTGGTAAACACTGAGCCAGGCGTGGCACTGTGTTTCTGTGACTCAGGAGGCCGAAGCAGGAGAATCAAGTTCAAGGCCAGCCTTAGCCATTTAGCAACACCCTCAGCAACTTAGGGAGAGCGTCTCTCAAAATAAAAAATTAAAAAGCCTGGGGATGTAGCTCAGTGGTAAAATATTCCTGGGTTCAATCCCCACTCCCCACTCCCCAAAGTAAACATTTGTGATGTCATCATTCAATTTTAAAGAAAATTTTCGTTTGGCATTTACTTTGAGGCAGTGTTTCCTTCTTTTATTAAATGTCTATGTTATATAGAGGTCATTTTTACATATTGTGGAAATAAATCATCTTGTTATTGTAAATTGGCTTCTATAACAATAAGCCATGCATTTGTTATTTTATGAGTTGTTTCAAATAGAAAGTTCCTGAAATTTTTAGTGTAACCTTTCTTTTCAAGGAAAAATGTTTATTTATTACAATGGTCAGTTGTTTTTTAAAGCATAAGCAAAGTCTTAGGGCAAATACAGAACAATGTGTGGTTTTAGGAATACACGTGCATATCCTGAAGTTCAGATTTTAATATTGAAATCCCAAAGGCTAATGTCTGTTGGGAATTTGAGACCCTTTCTGAAGCTGTATCTGTATC